CTGGGGCAAACGTCCACGCTCACTGGCAAGCATCAAAGGTAGGCACTATATTGAGTGTTGTCATTCGTGGATAAAGTTATCAACCACTCTTCCTTAATTGAGAGTTACTAGTAACAGACAGACTTAAGATTACAATGCGCTGGGTTTTTAATACATTTGTTTTATTTCACGGCTGTACGTATTTAGTCAGATTGTAAAATTGGTCCCCATATATACCTGCAATAGCGACTTGGGTATGTTAACGTTTGGTTTAACCCACCCAAAAGAATCGCATGCTTAGCCTTTTAGTAAAATATCTGTATTTAGTTGGTTTGGTATATGTAAAACTTGTAAATATGTAAATCCCCTTGCGTCCATCGGAGAACGTTCGCATACTACGTGCACGCTATACTCGCCACAGGCTTCCGTCAGGGTGTGCAGAGCAGCGTGTCCAACATCGCTCAGACCATCGGACCGTTGTGGGGAAGTGCGCTCGTCATTCACCTGTACTGGCTCTATCCCGTCACACTGCTTGTCATCCTGCTTCCCGTCGTGAGTATGACACACCGCGAAACTCTCCGTCCACATGTCACTACAAACAGTGTAGCGAACTGCATGCAGCGCCCCTTCGTAAAACTCAGGATGCCACTGCCACAAAGCTGCTACTATTTTTAAGTGGGCGGAGCTCCTGGAAAATCCAGCGAATGGCAATCCAACGGCCGCGAAGTCGGCGCCGAAAAAAACAGCAGAAATGTTTGTTTTGCATGTTTGTCGGTGGACAAATTTAGATGTTTTCAGCTGAATAAGCAAAAATGTATCGAAGAAAATATTCGAGAGTTAGGTATATTGGTAATTAAGCATCTTAATGATAAATATTGAATAAACATGTGAACTTAGTTTGGTAAACAGCGTATGATTTTAAAGTAGTAAATGGGCGCACAATCCGCACACTATTTCGTATCACTATTTTATCAAATTTTTCATGAAATAATGGTCCGATTTTTATTATTTTTGTAACTTTTATATTTACAAATCATATAACATAGAACACGAGCAATACATTCCACTGTAAAACTGCTGCATTTACATTGATCGCACAACAGGCCAAGTGCGTTATCTGTTTTATAAAATTGCGACACACACAATTAATTGAAAATAAATAGTAAGTCTAGATCACGAAAATTTATTTCAATTCCAAACGTCAAAACAATTAAACACATTTACAGTTTAGTAAATTGCTTCACACACAATTAACAGTATGTCTAGATAAACAGTCTAGATAAATAGTCTAGAAAATAAATAGTAAGGCTAGATCTCGAAAATTTATTCCAGTTCCAAAAGTCAAAATCAAACACATTTACAGTTGATTAAATTGCGACACACGCTATAACAATTTAACAGTAAGTCTAGATAAACAGTCTAGAAAATCAATACTATAGTAAATAAATCTACATCTCGAAAATTTCAGTTTGATGCTTAATTATTGTAAATGTTAACATAATCGCGAGCGTGCAATATAACTTTTTTTGCGCGCTTTTTGACACGGTTTGGCGTGCATTATAACAACAACAACGGCATGTCACGTGACGCGTTTTGACCAATCATGATGCATAAAATATCCGAGCCATTTTATAATCATAGCTATAACTATTTGTAAGTACAGTGAAGTTGGTTTTATTGAATAAGAAATCATTAGTAGTTTGTCTGCAGCTTTGCTTCTGTCCTGCGCCAGGCTTCACTCCCCTGCCGATGTTAGAATGGGACAGGGCTGTTGTCATGGTGCCACAGAGAGTACTGTGCCAGTGCTCTCGCTTCTATTGCATTCCTTGTACTTGCCTGTGGATTTCAGGGCATGATGGGATTGTCATGGCGACGGCTCTCCGACGAGCAGAATGATCAGTTCCTTGCTGACGGTGAATCACAGTACGTAAACGATGAGAGTTTCCTCCGGTTTGTCACCACCGGTCATCCTCCACCAAGCATGACCAGTCATTACCGAAGCACCTCTGCTCATAAGTGAGATGTCACCTGTTGTCATTGTGGCCTGGGTAGTCACCCGTGATGCCTGAGTGGTCATAAGTGAGATGTCACTTAGCTGTTGTCATTGAAGCCTGGGTAGTCACCCGTGATGCCTGAGTGGTCATAAGTGAGATGTCACTTTCTTATTACTTCAGCTTCTGGGCAGCTACTCACTGGTCACCTATGCCAGTCGACTGCTTCAGGATCGCTCGATTATTTTGCTTGGTATTTGTGGTCTTGCTCTGTCTATGATTTGGCAGCTGGCCACTGTAGCCCCAGCTAAACCACGTATGTTTTGTGCTACCCGTTGTTGAATCTGCTATCAGAAACGTCAATGAATGCTTCTTAGCTATTTATGTTGTATGTGTACTCGGTGAACCATTGCCAGAAAATTACAGTCTATGAGAATGTCCTAACCTAATCAGACGTTTCTCCATGTTGTACCCAGATGTGTCAGTTTATGGTCTTTCTGAGAACAGGTCCCAGTTTGCTAATATCTGCTAACCTACTGCACGAATGAAATTTACATGATATTCAGTTGTTCTTGAAATTTTATTCTTGAATGTCAAATTTTTATAGAGCTAGAACTTATTGGTGACGGAACTCTATCCTTTTAGCTTATTTTGCATAACCACAGTGATGATAAATGGGTTGATATAATAAGTTATCTTATATTTTACCTCGTTGGGCCAATGCTAAACCGTCTTAGCTAGAATGAATTTCATGAGTCAGTTTTTCTACTAATTGGCGATTCTTTTATGAGGTCTTTTTTACGTAATAAACTTTGAAGGTAATAAGCCAAGGTAATTGAAAACACATTGATATAGCTGTCATGTGGAACGTATTATTTAGTAATTGTTTGCATGCATGTTTCAGTGGATGATGGCTTGCTGGCATATCTCATAGTTGCAATGGTCATAGGTCTGCTTGGCCTGCCACCAGTGCTAGTGTGTGCGGTTTCTCTTCTCTCCAAACTCACCTCACTGGAGCATCAAGGTAGGCACTATATGAGTGTTGTCATTCGTGGATAAGGTTATCACAACTCTTTCTTTACATTGAGAGTACTAGTACAGACAGACTTAGATTACAATGCTGGGTTTTAATACATTTGTTTTATTTCACGGCTGTACGTATTTACTCAGATTGTAAAATTGGTCCCCATATATACCTGCAATAGCGACTTAATTGGGTATGTTAACGTTTGGTTTAACCCACCCAAAAGAATCGCATGCTTATAGCCTTTTAGTAAAATATCTGTATTTAGTTGGTTTGGTATATGTAAAACTTGTAAATATGTAAATCCCCTTGCGTCCATCGGAGAACGTTCGCATACTACGTGCACGCTATACTCGCCACAGGCTTCCGTCAGGGTGTGCAGAGCAGCGTGTCCAACATCGCTCAGACCATCGGACCGTTGTGGGGAAGTGCGCTCGTCATTCACCTGTACTGGCTCTATCCCGTCACACTGCTTGTCATCCTGCTTCCCGTCGTGAGTATGACACACCGCGAAACTCTCCGTCCACATGTCACTACAAACAGTGTAGCGAACTGCATGCAGCGCCCCTTCGTAAAACTCAGGATGCCACTGCCACAAAGCTGCTACTATTTTTAAGTGGGCGGAGCTCCTGGAAAATCCAGCGAATGGCAATCCAACGGCCGCGAAGTCGGCGCCGAAAAAAACAGCAGAAATGTTTGTTTTGCATGTTTGTCGGTGGACAAATTTAGATGTTTTCAGCTGAATAAGCAAAAATGTATCGAAGAAAATATTCGAGAGTTAGGTATATTGGTAATTAAGCATCTTAATGATAAATATTGAATAAACATGTGAACTTAGTTTGGTAAACAGCGTATGATTTTAAAGTAGTAAATGGGCGCACAATCCGCACACTATTTCGTATCACTATTTTATCAAATTTTTCATGAAATAATGGTCCGATTTTTATTATTTTTGTAACTTTTATATTTACAAATCATATAACATAGATCACGAGCAATGCATTCCACTGTAAAACTGCTGCATTTACATTGATCGCACAACAGGCCAAGTGCGTTATCTGTTTTATAAAATTGCGACACACACAATTAATTGAAAATAAATAGTAAGTCTAGATCACGAAAATTTATTTCAATTCCAAACGTCAAAACAATTAAACACATTTACAGTTTAGTAAATTGCTTCACACACAATTAACAGTATGTCTAGATAAACAGTTTAGATAAATAGTCTAGAAAATAAATAGTAAGGCTAGATCTCGAAAATTTATGTCTAGATAAACAGTCTAGAAAATAAATAGGCCTAGTAAGCTTGTAGCTCAGTGCAATTAGCATAATGCGGGTACGTTTTTGTGTGTGACAATGTGTGTGTAGATGTGTGAGTGTGCGTGTGTGTGTGATGCGTGCACTGTGTATGGTGTAAGGCTGCTCGCCCACATGCACGCACGACACACATGCCCACACAATGATTAGCCTTTAAAGTTAAAGGAATAATTAAAGCTAAAAGTATAGGCTCAATATATCTTGATTCGAGATTCGATCGTCTACTGAATAAAAGCTTTTTATTCGGACACAAAGCTAATTAAAAACCTGACGAAAATTTTTTATATATAGAGCATGTTGGTGTTGTTTCAGCCTTATTGAACAGAAAAAAGCAGAGTTGACACAAGCACATAACTAAACGGTGACTGATTTTGATACCGGGCACTGGCGCACGAAGTGTAATTGTATTACTTGCTGCATTGAGCTAGAAGCAGGGCATACCCCCTACCCTCAAATGGCCTGCTGCATCTGGTATCAGCAGAGATCAGCACGGCGGGAACCACTCTGCCGCGTGTTATGCAACTTATTAAATAGTATTGTGCGAACTTACTCTTGTAGTTGTCGCATAGTGTCCATAATATTCTTGTCTGTGGTGTGCGGAAGAGTCGCCGGTACTTTTCACGTTGTAGTGGAACTGTGTTCCGGTTATTAAATGGTGAGTGTATTGGTCACAGAGCGTTAAATTGAGCGATCAACCAGTGACGAACTATGTGATGCGTCGTGGATGGTTTTGAGTAGTCGTCATTCCGTTGATTGAGTGGCTGTCCTGAACTCAAGACTTTAGCATCAATCAAAACATAATTAGAATTTATTTAAGTAATTGTTTGGTTTACTAAATCCCAGAGACCGAAGGTGTCGGCGTCTTTGCAGTGCGTTATTGATGGTATCCAGTCATTTTAGAAGTTGAAAGAGGTCCTGGGGGGAAAGTGACAAAAAATAATACAAAAAATAGTCATATATACATAAGTTTTGTACGAATGTTACTCGTGGGCATTGTGTTACCTGCATATACTAGTGCAGGTATTTAGGCTGCACCAATGTGGCAAGGGCACCACGTAGTCGGCAGTGGGCCAAGTGGTAGTGAGTTTGTTCGATCAAAATGTCTGGTAGGCCGTGGCACTGGTGTGTTGTAAAGCAGTTGTGTTGGTGGATGACTTAACGAAGTGCGTAATGTACCAAGTAAGGAAAGTGTCCCAAGGCCAGCAAATAAGAATCAATAACAAGTTTGCAGGCGCGTAGGCGTGAGCAAATTCCTGGGGGGCAAAATTCAATGACAAATTTGTATATCGTCAGCGTAATAATGAGGCGACCGGCGCGAGCTCTTGATCGATGTCCGCTGTTTGGTGGCGTGTGGGTCTGAGAGCAAGCGCTTTTCACGAGTAAAGTTGAACGCAAGAAATCACGGTTAGGGTTATTTACGGATTATTAGGCGTAACGGCTTATTTTTTAAATTTTGGGCTTTTCACGAAATCCGCCTCCCCCGCCGCCTCCGCCGACTAGGCTTACGGCCCTCTGATTTGGTAGGCCCGTTAAACAGCGAAGCTGTGCAGGAAATATGTGCATCGGTATAACGTGGTTTATTTTATTGGTTTGTTGTTCCAGCGTATAGGATTCATGGATTGGTAGGTGTGTGATTGTACCTACAGGGAGATTAATGTAAAAGTGAGCAGCAAAGTAGGCAGTTTCCGCACAAGTTGCTGATGATATAGCAACATGATGTAATTCTGAATATTTAAATTGGTCAATTGGTATTGCGCGTCACAGCACTGTTAAGATATATGGTTGATTTAGAGAGTATTATATACATCCGCATAATATTACTATTATATGATAGGTGTTGGTGTGTGTGTGTGTGTGATATATATATATAGTATATATATTATATGAATATATTAATATAGGTATAGGTTTGTTACATTTGAACCGCATTGAAAATATGCTGCTATATAGCCTTGCCAAATGATATTATAACTGTATTCAGTTCACAAAATACGTATTAGCCTAAGGAAGTTATTTATATAAGAGATTATATACCGTCACTATAAACTTTGTTGTGGCGTTATTCTTGAAGACTTGTTGGATCATTTCTGTATTGTGTAGATAGAGAACCGATCGACACAAGCAACAATTACAGCTGAGCTGCAAGCAAAGAAAGGCAGCAGTGACAATAGACCTATATAGTATTTCTTCCTATAGCTTAATATTCCGCGTTTGTTTTAACGATGGCGTTCCGACATTGTGGTAGCCAATGCTAACGCACCAAACAGGGCCGGCATGTTTAAGCCGAATAAACGTGGCCGCGTGTGTAAACTTCTTGTGTGGCGCATGTTGGCCTCAAGCTGGCTCTCATTGTTCTGCCGCCCATACTTTTCTCTCTGCGGTTCCACGACCAGTCTGTGAAGGTTTCGGGAGGGCCCCCGGGTGACTCCATAATCGCGCCTTGCGCGCTCACACTGTTGTCCTCCGCCAGGTGGCACTTTAAAAGTAAATCGCTGGCAAGAAAGCAAGCGAGATTGAACAGGAAGAAGCTCCATGTTTGGCCAGGCTGCTGTCCGAGCCTGCCAGGCCGACCTACAGCAAAATAAAAATACGCAGCAATAATGGGTTTTCATTTCAACTCGCCGCTATGACTTTCGTATGGCGGCAGTTGTACTTCCCGTTGTAAATCGACGTTTGAAAGCAGTTCGGCCAGCGAAACGCAGCACCGTACGCTAATCAGAATAGGGGTATGGAAGGCTTCGTGTTTGATGAACTGTTTCCGTCTTTGTCGCAGGCAAGGCGTTCGGGCGATGCGTACGTGTCTGCGTTGGGCCCAGGTAACATTGGGGTCGTGTGCATGCAGACCACAGGTTTGCGATCTAGTCATGCGACTTGCGCGGATATTGTAGGCGGTGGTGTGCCTGAGGACGTGTCCCGCAGCGGTGCGTGAAGGGCGGCCTCAATGGCGGCCAATGGTTAGCCGTGTCGCTGCACGTCTCCACGATTCATGGCGTGCGTGTAAGGGAGGCTGTCGCGGTTTCCTTCCAAGATGGCCGCGCCGGTGCATGTCCGATTACTTCGTTTGAATATAATCAGGAAGTTGAAGATATGGAGGTTACTGCCGTACTTTCTAAGCTCATGAACAGCACAGCCCGGTGCGCGCGCGGCGGCACACACACCAGTCCCAACAGCCACACACCACACACACACAAACACACACACACACGCGGCCGCGCGCGCAGCGCACACACACACACGCACAACACGCAACGACACGACACACAGCGACACTACACACCACACACACACACACGTAACACACGCACACACATCACACACACACACACATCCGCGGCAGCAGGCCCACAACACATTCACACACACAGCACACAGCACACACTATATATAATTCAGTGAGACAGATGGACGGACAGACGGACAAACGCACACGCGCAACCCCGCCCCCCCCCACACATGCAAACACATGGTTAGTCATGCTCACCGCATGTACGCACAGCCACGCACCAGACACCAAAAGAGGGCGAAAGGGTTGTATGGGGGGGGGATCATTTAGCTATGTTTTTAACGACGTATTTTGTAACAGGAGAACGAAAACGTGCAGTACCGTATCAATCTCCTGTTGCACCTTTCGCTGCACGTCCTGGATGTTTCAGCAGGTATGAGGAAACAAACGGCAGCCGAGACTGGTTCGCTGTCGTCTCGTCCCAGCGTTGAATAAGTCGATCATTATTTGGAAATAGATGACTATCGCTCACTGTCCGAAAAGATGCGGTCAAAGAGAACAGAAGTCATTGGTAAGATATAGCTATATTACAAAAAAACAGACTAAACCGTAATTTTATGAGGGATTAGATTAGATGATATATATATATAAATATATATATATAAAGTACGCACAGCTGTCCAGATGAACGCCCTTGATAATGGTGCCAGCACTATCCACCTGAGCGCTCTCCTGCTGTGCCAATAGGTAATAGTCCACGAAGTCTCGTATGGCATTGGGGTCAAACGTCAATCTGTGCTCATCAACGACCTGCGGTAGAATTTATGCACTCCTTTTAGCGGACGGACAGTATGATATCTAGTAGTGTGTGCCTAATCATACATACGCACACACAGAGACGCACGCACGCACGCACGCGCGCGCGCGCACACACACACACATATGATATAGTAA